GAGAGAGAAAGTGAGAAATTAAGAAGCCACCGGGTCCAGTACTCAAACCATGGTCAGCCATGTGGGAGTGTCCAGTACCTTTACCACCATGCCACTTGCTGGTTCCCCAAAATTATGTATTTTTAAGTTAAAAGACCTAAGATTGTAGATGTCATTTGTAAAGGCTTCTCTGCTTTAACTAATTTAACTAACCAACTCTTAAGTCTTGTTTACACTAGATAGAAGGATTTCTACTCTATTTTTCAGGGATTAGGAGAGAAGGAGTTTGTTGTCAAAACAAACATGTCACCATGTAAGATGTGGCTCTCTTAGCCATGAGGCACAGGGCCAGCCCTCCACAGAATGTTTGAAATCCCCTGGCTTGTATACTTGATGCAAGAAGGCTTTCGACCTGCCCACTTACTGGGGCCACCTGCTAGGTCAGCCTCAACACTGACTGGCAGTTATGTGCCTTCAAGTTTCCACTCTGCCTGGCCTGGACCCCAGGGACCTGCTCAGCCCAGAAGGCAAGTGGTTAAGGAAGTGAAAGCTACCCAAGGCAAGATGGGCTTCCTAGAAGGAGGAGGCAGGGTAGGGTGCTGTTCGGACATGGAGGGAGAGGAAGTGGTTTGGCCAGCAAGAAGTCAAGGTTCCCCTAGTAGAAGGACCCGAGGACACAGTGAGAAGAGTGAAGAATGAAAACCTCATTTACGTCCCCGTGTGCTCCCTCTTCTACACTTTGTCAAAAACTGCTGCTTCATCTTCAGGAAGCCATGACCACACAGACACACACTGAAAATGAGACACGTGTGGAAACAGCCAACTCCCCTTTGTCAGGGATTACTTTTCTTGGCTGAATTCCCCTCTTCCTGGCTCCCCCAACTCCTGCCTGCAGATGCAGATGCACGTCTGAACTTGAACTCACAAGCAAGGAGAGTGCTGGGAAGATTTATTTGGGTAAATTACTTCCCCTTCAGCTGAGTCCTGACCTAAACCACAAACGGGCTTAGTGGGCCTTTGAAAACTAGTGTTGTCAGCAGCAGCCCTCACTGGCTTCTCGGTGAGCCAGAGACCTTGCCATTACAGATCCTGGAAAAGGTATCCAGCCTCTTTACTGCAAATTATCCAACATGCACAGGAGCTTGTCAAAGCTTAGACTTACGAATACCTTAAGTGTGCCTTAAGTGCGAACTTCTTAATGTTCACACTTAAATGCCTTACGTGTGAACTTCTGGGCACATTAACTCTTGGATTTTCCACTTCAGCTATGTTGGGACTTTGGTAGTTTGTCTACTTGCCTTTATTTTCTAAAGGAAAATCAAAATGAGATTTATATGTTTATTAAGGAAAGTAGCCAATTGTAGAAGAAGTGTGAAATCCTGATTCTAAAAGCAGGACTCCCCAATAAATAACACGAGTGCAAATACCAGAGGCGCCGTCTCCGCCACGTCCATGTCTCTGGGCAGACTGTGCTGGACACTGCCTCTGTGAGCACGGAGTCCCCTGTCAGGAAACTGAAAGTCCCAGTAGGAAATGTCCCCTGAAATTAGAAACAGCTGGGGGCAGGCAGTACATCCAACACCCCCACAACCGAAAAGAAACGGGGTGGGACTTGGTTCCCATGTCCAACTCGGCAGGCATCTTCCTTTCCAGGCTGCTCTGGGACTCTCCAGGCCCGAGGGCCCTTGTCCAATCTATTCATACCAATGTAATTAACATGCACATGTGCTTTGGGCTTTAGCTCTTCATATGGAAGTCAAGTGTCGACATTCTTACAGTGTTGCAGCACTGTCGTTCTTTTTAAATTTGATTTTATTTTTTAACAGATAATGCATTCACATGGTTCTAAACCCAAAGTGGTTTGAAACTACTTTTAGAAGTCTTGCTGCAACCACTGGCCGGCCACCTTGCACCCCACTCTGACACCTCCGTGTAACCACTTTTATTGGTTATTCTTGTTTATCCTTTCAGTGCTGCTTTATCCATATATTAACTCATTCTTTCATTCAACAATGATTTACTGAGCAACTACTGTGTTCTGAACTGCTATGTTTTAGGTACTGTTTTAGAGCTACACCTTTGCTTTCATGGAGTTTGTAACCTAGAGAGGTGGAAAACAAGCAATAATAAAAAGAATAGAGCAAGGAGGGTGGTGGTCTGGAGGTTTGAAGGGGGTACACTGCAATTTTTTCCCCATAGGGTATGTATGTGAGACAGAGAGAGACAGTGAGAGGGAAAGTGAAAACTCATCCCCCAGTGGGGATGGCCACAGTAAAATCCCTTCTCCTCCATTCTCCTCCTGGGATGCTTGGCATGTACGCACACGCATCTAGTGTGATTTTCAATCTGGGGGGTCCAGGACTCAAACCACAGTCAGTCATGTGGGAGTCCAGTGCCTTAACCACCATGTCACGTGCTGGCCCCACATTGCAGTTTTAAATAGTGTGATCAGGGTAGGCCTTACTGAGTTAGTGGCACTTGAAACAAATATTTGAATAAGGTGAGGGGTTTAGTGATGAAAGGATCTCGGAAAAGGTAATTCAGACAGAAGGAACAACCCATACAAAGGTCCTAAGTAGAATGACACTCGTATTTAAGAAACAGCAAGGTGCCAGGTATGGCTGGGGGAGAGGGGGGGGGGGGAGTGATCAGGGTAGGCCTTACTGAGTTAGTGGCACTTGAAACAAATATTTGAATAAGGTGAGGGGTTTAGTGATGAAAGGATCTCGGAAAAGGTAATTCAGACAGAAGGAACAACCCATACAAAGGTCCTAAGTAGAATGACACTCGTATTTAAGAAACAGCAAGGTGCCAGGTATGGCTGGGGGAGAGGGGGGGGGGGGAGAGGAGAGGGAGGTGAAGTCAGAGAGGAACTCAAACCAAGTTGGGAGCAAGTGGTCAGACTCTGGACATATTTTGAATTAGGCACTAATGGATTGGGTATTATTGAGTGGGGGAAAGAGAAAAGTCAACAATGGCTCTAAGAGTTTTGACCTGAATGATTTGCAAAATAGCATTTCTGTCAGCTGAGACAGGAGGACTATAAATGAAGTGAGTTAGGGAGGGAAGATCAGTAGTTTGACTATGCATAAATTAAATTGAAGTCCCTGTTAGAAGAAATGCCAACAAATAATTGAACATTGTCAGTTTAAGAATAGTAGCTAGTGGGCCAGCAGGTGGCACAGAGGTTAAGATAGCTGTATCCTACACAAATGACTATGTGGTTCAAGTCCCAGACTTGGTGACTTGAAAAACATGCCAGGCACAGGTGCATGCTTGCCCAAAATCCTGAGAGGAGAATGGAGGAGAAGGATTGCAGTATAGCCAATTCTCTGGGGAGTGATTTCTCACTTTCCCTCGCTTTCTGTCTCTCTAGAATGAGCACATGTGCACTATAGCAAAAAAAACAAACACATGTGCACTATAGCAAAAAAAAAAAAAAAATCTTTTAAAGAATAGTAGTTAGCTATGATACATGATAAGATAGCCAAGGGGGTGAGTACATATATAAACGAGTAGGTGGGCCCAGCCGCAGTGGCACACACTGCTAAGATGCTGTGCTCCACAGGCTAGGACCATGTGGGAGGCCCAGGTTCAATTCTTGGTCCAACCTACAGGTTGGCCAATGGTGTGTACCTCCTCTTCAATTGAAGAAGGCTAAGACAGGAGGATCTGGAGATCAAGACTGGCCTGAGCATCATAGAGAGACTATCTGAAAGAGCAGGGTATGATGTCATGTACCTGTGATCCCAACAGGGAGGCAAGAGAATCCCAACACAAGGAGACCCTGTGCTTAAAAAAAACTTAAATGAGGAAATGGACCAAGGGCTGAGCCCTGGGACATGCTATGGTTAAGAAATGAGGGTGGGAGTGGAGAACTTACAAAATAAACCAAAAGACAGATATTTTATATCCACTGTTCTGCACCTTGCCTTTTTCATTTAGTAATCCATGCCTCTTTTCATAATGGTATAGGGAGAAGTTTTTCTTTCGTTTTTTATGGCTGCATACTATTCCATCAAAAGGGCATACCATAATTTAATCAGATCCTGAATGATAGACATGTGGTACTTCCAAGTTTTCGCTGCCCATGACCAATGTCATTCCTTTGCATATGCCTCATCTCTTGTGTGTCAGCTATGCAGCTGCCACAGTCCAGGAGTGAATATTCACAGCTTGTCAACTCTCACCATTTCTTTTTTTTTTTTTTTTTTTGGGGAGGTTTTTTTTCCCCT